GACCTCGTAGACTACCTCCTGTTCCCCCGAAGGCCTCAGCAAAAACGGGGTACTTCTCATCCGCTTCACCAATAAATCGGTATCTCCGAAAGCCGAGGGCGTAGAATCCCTTGTCGGCAGTATAGTCTTTGATGGAGACCTGCTTGGTGCGACCCTCCGGGATTTTTGCTATCACCAGGCCGTCTTTTTCGAGGGCGGCGCTTCCAACCTTCGGATGCCGACGGAAGCGATCCCGAAGTTCCACCGGGAATGGGTTCTAACCAACCCTGACGTAGCACCAGCGCTCCTTCCAGCCCTTGTTTGACGAAGGCGCCTCCGTAAACAGCTTCCACCTGGCCACCTGCTGCAGGTTGGCGAAGCCCTCGGCATTCGCGTGACCCCCTCGACAGAGGTTGAAGCTCTGGAAGAACAAGTCCAGGCTGGGGGTCACCCCTCGGTCCCTACAGAGGTTTAAAAAACCCACCACGTAGGAATGGCTATTAGGTGTCAGCTGGCAGGGCACCAAGCCAACGAACCTCAGGTACTCCCGGAGGAAGGGGTGCAGCGGGAACCGAAGGCCCATGGAGACCGACAGCACGTGTACCGCAATGCACCCTTCAGGCGCCCGAGAGAGCACATCGTCAACTCCCGGCTCGACCACCTCGGCCGAGGGCCCTACATGTAGCTGCGTCACGTAGAGGTCCGCCCTGTCCGCCTTCGACCTTATCTCCAAGGCGGCCGTGTTGAGCCAGGAATACCCCTCCGGCATATCTACGGGCTTCCCCTGATCAGCAGCTATGACCTTCTTCTTGGGGACAGCCGCCTTGGCCTTCTTCTTCCCGGGGGCCACCCGGATGGGGACCGCGTTCAGCGGCTGGGAAGTACTGGCCTCACCAGCACCCCGAGGGGGAAGGACGGCCATAGTGACCTTCGCCCTCTCCTTCTCCTCCTCCTCTTCAGCAACTTGGACGTCGAGGGCCAACTCTTCATCCTCGGCAGTTCGCTCGAATTCCTCCGCCTCGGCCTCAGCCGTCAGATCCTTCTGCACCTCAGTGGCGAGGGCTGCATCACCACAATCCGAGGGATGACCACTGCTTGACTCCACATCGGAGATGCCTTCGTCCTCCATCGAGGGCGTCCTTGAGATATCCTGAGAGTCACTCTGGGACGACATTCGCACCTTTGTTCGAGGGCTCGTAGACGGTAGTGTCTCCTAACTTTTCTATCTCCTAAACTAAGGGCACAGTACAGCTATGCTAGAAGGAGAAAGGCAGGGAGCACTGACCTCGAAAGCTGAGTTTTGACTGAAGGCTGAACTTTCTCTCTCTAGAAAAATTGACAGAGCTTCGCTAACAAGTTTATCGCACACGGAGGAATGCCTGGCCTTGGGGTATTTATAGGCGATGAATCCGGGCTTGGGCCTGGATTCCGGGCCTCCGGATGGACGCCATCATTACACACCGCCGTTTCACCCAACCGGTGACGCCGCCCACGGACAGCCAGCCATCACACGCCACGTGTCCCCCCCCAACGGCTATATCCTGTCGTTACATATTCCAACGGCTATATTTCCAACGGCTATATTTTGGAAGCCCCCGGGTTTTCTACTTCACTCCACCTCATCAAAGATAGCCTCCGGGTGCACTCACCCAGAAGTGCCCCCGGATTGTGCCCCACACAGCACATTACATACGCCTTCGGGATCACCCCTTCAGATCCCTAGGGCTGCATATCAGGGCACCCCTCGGGATTTTCCCCTCAGCACTGCAAAACCGAGTAGCCCCCGGGGAGTGCCTCATTGATGGATGGCCCATGTCCCTCGGGTATCTTCATCACCACCTCATCAACAAACAGTGGACCCCCCGGTAACAGCTTCACTGCTGCCCTCATCTGGCAGGCCCTCGATCCCTGGATTGAGGGGCTCCCCTTCGGAGCCACCAGGATATCAACAGCAAGCCTTCAGCTAATCAACACAGGAGCCCTCAGAAGAGAGAGCCTTCGGCATTCCCGCCATCCTCCATTTTTTACCAAGGTTTGACATTTTCGATTCATCATTGAGGGAATTCGGTGCACTCTTTTTCCCTCATTAGGATTTTTTCCCAAAGGGTTTTTCCTAATGAGGTTTTTAACGAGGCATCCCCCCAAAATGAAACGAAGAGCGTCAGCCTTCGGCCCACAACAGCAACGTAACTAGTTTACTCCTTTTCACCACTTTACAAGTGCCTCAAGGAGTGGGGGATTGGAGGACCCCTTCGGGAAAATCATTAAATTACAAAATCTGTGAAATTCTAACAAACAACAAAGCAAGCCCTCAAGTCCCGACATGTGGGTAACTGAGGGACTGCCTTCGCCAGGGACATAAAAGCAACAACTCCTCACCAACTTCAGGGATCACGACAGGACAACATCAAAAGGCAAGCACAAATTACTCCTTTTCCCTCAAGTACCTTTCGGCAAAAGGAGTGAGGGACTCCTGATGGAGTATATGGCCCGGGAACCCCCGGCCCACAGACTCCTACTACTCCATCACAGCGCCCAGAGTACCAAGCAGTCCGCACAACGCACAGGGGTGCCTTCGGCCCCCTGGCCGAAGGCTCCAAATTATCACAGAGCGGGTTTCTCAAGCAAATTAGGAAACTGGGAGAAAACGGCGAAAACAGTAGCCCTCGGCATTGTGAGCCCTCGGCACCAGGGTGCCATCGGGTGGGAGAGCCCTCGGTTACTGCTCTATAGCCGAAGGCACCTCACTCGACAAGATATCTGCCTCACATGCGTACAGATCACCGTACCCCGCACAGACGTCCCATCCAACAGCCGCATTAAATGCGGCCACATGCGGCTGCCAGCGCCAACCAGTTGAGGTGACCCCTCGGCCAATAAGCGCTTGACACGTGTCCCTGCCCGGCATTTATTGCTACTATAAATAGCACCCCGTTTCCCCATTTGTAACCACGCTGAAAACGCTCCACATTTATAATACACTCTCTCTCTCTATATTTACTTGCTCTGACTTCTCTCTAAGTTATTCCCCGTAGTAACCCTTCGGATATATACCCCCGGGTAGACTATCCATCAGATGTATATACCTGTGTTTTTTATACGTGTTGATGATGGAAGACCGACTCCATTGTTTGCCCTCCATTTAGTGGCTTCTCATCTCAAAGGCTCTTACCATCCTTAACTTATAATTTTCACGTTCTTATCTAATGTGTAATTAGTTACGAAAGCTATGATCTAACACTTTTTCTTTCGTATTATATTAATTGCTCTTATTATTGCTATTACTATCATTATTCTACATGAGACAAATAAAGTACTCCCTCTGTTTCTCTAAAATTGTCTCATTTTATATTTTCGGAAAATGTCACTAAGATTGTGTCATATGGTAAAGTTTGTATGACTCTGAATCATTTTTAATTTATTCTTATTTTATAAATTCAATATCAGCCACATAAGCACACTTTTCTGAATAATCACGTCACTTCCTCTTGTCTCAATGTTAGTGGGACAGAAGTGGTACCAATTCAAAATAAGATTTTTTTTGACACTATTGTATTATTATATTATTATTATTATTATTATTATTATTATTATTATTATTATTATTATATTATTATTATTATATTATTATTGTTGTTGTTATTATTATTATTTTTACTATTATTGTTATAATAAAAGTTATTGGATATACACATGTTGTATAAACTAAAGTAATACATAGTACTATAGTAGTAATATCTAGATGTAATAAAAGGAAACCAAATCAATTGATGTATTATTACTTACGTACATGGTGTATATTGTTGTTACATCATTTCTAAATTTCCTACCTAACATATTTAATTACCAATTTTGTTTTTCTCATTAATTTCCTATTTTGTCCTTAATTTGGGCGGGATTTTTCCCTCCAATTGTTATGCCAACATTGTTACTTTATATTATATAAAGATAGATTAACATTATTTTTTTAAAAAATTGATAACAATAATCTCACCTTTGAATGGTCTGCTCGTAATAATCTTACATTTGCGTAATTCAAGAATAATTCCACCATAAATAATCTCACTTTCATATTCTCTCATTGACCCCTGATCGGTAGATTACCTACTATACCAGCTTTTTTGCTTTTTCTTTGGAAATCTTACATAAATAATCTCACTTTTACATAAAAAGCTATTGAGATAAAGGAAAGCAAAAACATAAACAGATTGAATAAATGAATTAATAAGATGATGCAAAAAGAAAAAAGACAAAAAAATTGTATACCAAGTCATGAACCGGTCAGGGTCCAACGAGAGAAGATAGGTTGCAAAGGTGGGATTATGCAGGGATTATGCAAATGTAAGATTATTATGAGCAGACCAGTCAAAGGTGAGATTATTATTATTATTATCAATTTTTCCTTATTTTTTGGATGTTCTGAACAAATCTTTTCATTTTTCTTCTGAACTTTTTTTGTGAGGTAGACATTTATTTAGATTTTTCTTATTCAGCAATAATCATACATTTTCACTTTATTCTCACTTTTTCAAACTCTTATCCAAGTCCAATCAATAAAGTTTTTATGAACGGAGTGGGTATTTTGTTTTAAATTTATCAACTTTCATCAAGGACTTTCTTTTTTCGTCGAGCAGTGTCGTGTGAGTAGATTGCAAGTGCATGACATAGTCACTCAGTATGATAATAGTCATATTATCACTCAGTATGATAATATGACTATTGGTCGGTACACTCCTTACGGACAGGGGGTCAAATTCCAGGCTTTTAAAGATCTTATGGCCTCGTTATGGCTTTCGGGAAAAGGAGTCTCTATCAAAGAGATAGGTGAAAAAAGATACATGTTCACTTTTTATCATATAGTTGATATGTGTCGTGTGCTTGAAAGTGGTATGTGGTTGTTTGAACGGAACCTGTTAATCCTTATAGAAGTTAAGCCGGGGATATACCCCTTAAGGTAACTTTGAATGAGGCAGAATTTTTTGTCCATGTGCATAATGTACTGTATGGATTTATGACGCTAGGCACGACTAAGAGTCGGTTTGAAGGAAATTGGGAAGCTTATATGAGAATCTGAGTTTGCATGGACGTTCGGAAACCGCTGAAGAAAGGTACAAGTCTTAGGGTAGGTTAAGGGATGGTCACTGGGTGGAATTTAAATATGAAAAACTATCTAGTGTTTGCTTTGTGATATTAGCCATGCTGACACAATCTGTCCTTTGACATATGAGAGTGAAAATAAAGTGTTGGAAAAACCCTATGAGGTGGAACTGAGAGCAAGAGGGGGGGGGGACCTCGTCCTTCAGGGGGGAAACAAATGGCTGGTTCAAGAGGGATCCTCGTCAAAAGGTATGGGGATGAAGCAACAAGATATTGCTCAGGGCAGAGAGGGTGCAATGGCGAGGCAAACGGGGGCCATTGTTGTGATTAATCTCGGGAAGAAAAAGACGGGGAAAGCTAAAGTCGCTGATGCAGAGGGGGTCTTTGCAAACCAGAAATGCAGGAGGCTGTGGGAGGCGTAGGAACATGAAGACATGAGTGGATATGTCATGGCTCTGAATGAGTCAAAAACGGGGAGGAGGCGGGTTCTGGGCGCAAGACTCGCTGGGAGTTCTGAAGTAGCTTTATGGATGGACAGGAGAGCGGAAGTTCCTTATAATTTTGGGGACGCACCATAAGTTTAATTATGTCATTTTAATTTTTGACGTTTACCTTGATCATGTTTTCATTTTCGCTTTTTATTTCTTGTTCCGTCAGACTCTTGCATTAGGATTGGGTGATGAGAGGTTTGTTTTGACCGCCTGTGACTCAATTATACTCATTACAAGAGCAACGAGTTATATTGTTTTCTTGAACTTGATTGACTCTAAGTCTGGTTCGAGGGTTGGCGGTTGGGCGTGGTCTTTTTGCCTATTTGATCCCTATCTAAATGTTGTGATACTAAAGTGTGATTATTGGTTTAAACATGTTAAATTGCTCTTGTCAACTAAAAAACAAATAAAAAACTAATTGTCATAAACCAATTGATTATATTTTTTTGTGTTCGCGATTAAATTTCTATTTTGACTTTGTGAATTTTTTGATTTTTTTTAAATTTAACATAGTCCCATAAAAGTAGAAACTACATATATATAAATAAAAATGTTGATTATAAAAAAAGTGACTTTTAAATATAGTTGAATTCTCGGTTTCCCACCCAAATTCATAAGGGTTGAATATGGCTTTCCCGATTTTGGGTTACTCACACATCCCTATTCTATTATAGGAAAAGATGCAAATATACCCTGGAATATATGCGGAGGTGCACATATATCCGTGAACATCTAATATGTGCTTAAATATCTTTAATGTTTCTATAAATTGACATTTTTTCTCTGTTCACTTTAAATAAATAAAACAAATGAAAAAAACAAAAATGAACTATAAATTTAAAATTCAAAAATGAAATAAAAAAAAATTAAAGAGTTAAAATTAATTTTTTTAATGTTAAAATATTAACTCGTTAATTTTAAATCACAAAATTATTCTTATTTCCTTGTATATTAAGCACTTCAAATCCATAAATTTTATTTTCAGTGTTGTTGTAAAATTTCGAACACATTGTTACATTTTTTGAAATACATTCTTTAATTTTGTTTAAACTTAATAGAATTAAATTCACTATTTTATAATCTTGGATTATTTATGATCATACAAAATATGTAATTTTATAGTTTAAAAATACAAAAAAATAAATAATGATTTTTACATTGCAACACATATGTTAATCATTTCCCGAAAGAATAGTAAATATATAAAAAGTTTTGAAATAGTTTTGTATACTAAAAATATTAAACTGTGATTTAAAATATCAAAAGATGGAATCTTTTATTTATAGTCAACAAAGACAATTTTTCTGTTTTATAGGAACATGAGAGATTTTTTTGAAGGAAGTCAAACTACATATTATTAATCAAATCAATGTTTAAGGAATGCAAATACAATATGGAGGTGTGGTATGCCACACATAACAATCAGACATAGAAACGGCTACCCTTGCTAATTCATGAGCAATCCGATTCGCTGACAGCTTCACATGAGAAATAGGAATACTAGTGAAACTAGTCATAATTTCTCTTACATCATCAATAATGACCCCGAAGGACGATTCATCTGAATTATCCTGAATACTCTTAGTAACCTGGTTAGCGTCACATTCCACGCCAATAAACCCAAAGCCATAGTCCATAAGCCAACTAATGACCTCCCTTATCGCAAGGGCTTCAGCTTCGCGAGGTTGGCAGACTCCGTGTCTTTTCTTAATTCCCCCGACAGTAAATTAAAAGACGTATAGTCCCTTACCACCCAACCCAACCCGCTAGCTGCAGCCCCCCTCTACCTTCACCACAACGTCCACGTTGACCTTTAAACGACCCTCTCTTGGTTTAATCCAATGCTTGGGTTTAATACTCCCTACACCAGCAGGAGACTTCTTCCACAATACCTCATTTCCAGCTGCCATATTGATAACCGTTTTCGCGGCGTTGTAGTAAAACGGAGTCTAACCTTTCGGTTTTCCCCGAGTATCGTGTCTCTGGAGGAATGGCAGAGAAGTTTCTTGATTTTAAGTCCAGTCACATGTTATCGCAAATTATTGGAAGCTTTCCAAATTAAAACTTTTGATTGATTTTCTAAACTAGTTTTTGAAAAAGAAAGTAAATTAAATTATGCAAATCCTAATGATGGTTCAAAAATATACTAAATGAAAAATAAAATATTAAACTCTAAATGGATTGATCAAAGAATGGCAATGAATTGAATTATAAAATATGGGTACATCCTTTTATCTTGGATCTAATAATTAGGAGTATTTATAACTAAAGATTGGACTAGTAATTTATTTTCTCATTGACAAGATTTAAGTTACCTTCACTAATTTATCCTATTTCTAGGCTTCATTAATGTGTTTAAAATGGTTGACCTAAATTATATTCTAATCTCATGGACAAGATGGATATAACTTTCCGCATTTTAGCTAACAAAATGGTCAACTTCATTAATTAATTAAATTTCTCATATTAAACAATTGAATATCTTCCTCATAGACAAAGATAAAATTCTATCCATTAATTTATCCTATCTCTAGGCTTCATTAATGTGCTCAATATGTTTGGCTTAAACTATTTATAATCTCATAGACAAGTTATAAATAATCTTCCAAAGTTTAATTAATGAAATGACCAATTCTATTAAGTAATCAAATTAATCATTTTAAACAACTAGTCCATAAAATTAGTTAAACTCCTAATTTTCAGTCAAACAAGGTCACCCCATATTCTTTAATTCAACGCATGCCCAAGAGTAAATTAACTACAACAACTCATTACTAGTTTTAACACTTTACATATAAAATAAGACATTATCATAAATAATAACAACAAAAGAAAATATTAAAGTGAATACTCTCGACATCTAAACTTTCTTTTCTTTCACAAATAATCACCATTTATACTAGGTATTGAGGTTATCTAAGTAGGAGATTAATATAACAACAACTACTTTTCTTGAATAAAAATGGAAAACACGAAATTCTTGAAATTAATTCAGAGAATTTATAACAAATATTTGGGAAATACAAACAACATATTCAGAATCTACACGAAGAGAAGATGAATTTTCATATAAAGAACTTACAAATTGGAGCTAAAATGAGAAAGATATGAAAGATTGAAGTTGAAGGTCCAACAATGGTGGAAATCTGAGCTTTGAGGAGGAAGAAGACACCCTTTTTTATCTGAGTTGGGTGTGAGATGGTGTGTTTTGAGTTGGGGATGGAAGAGAGCTTTTATAGCTGGAGTTTTGTGGAAGGCGGCCATAAGGGCGGCCGCCCTCCGGCCATGGTCGGCAGCCTTCCATCAAATCACCGACAAAGCTGCGTTTACGCGTCAAATCCGCCACAGGCGCCCGTGGAGGGCGGCCGCCTATTTGGCTGCCTCCCGTCTTGTCTCAGCGACCGGCAGCTCAAAAGTCACATCGCGTCGCACTTCCGCAGGCGGCCACGGAGGGCGGCCGCCTTCCGGCCCTTGTCGGCAGCCTTCCATTATTTTGTCGCCATGCAAAGCCCCGTGTGCTGAAATTGTCAAAAACTCGTAGGCGCCCAGAAAGGCGGCCGCCTTATCGACCGCCTCACGTCAAATGGAAAAGTTGTCTTCACCAACGTTGTAGATACCTTTCTTGGCTAACTACTGGTTTTTGAATTACATTCATTGGATTTGTAGTTTATGAGATATGACAAAAACGGTGAGCATGTGTCACTTTCCATCGCAACTGCAAATGTCTGACTTCTTTGAGCAATATGTCCATTCTACGATTGTTATTTGGTTCTGTGTTCTTCATAAGAGTTGTAGAGCAAGAAGATGTAAATGTAATACAACTCGTATCACGAACGTTGAGCAATCATGCGCAAAGTTATGATCAAAATACGAACATGTGTCTCTATGCATCGTCCATTTTCATCAAAAGTGGCCATATAGGCGACTTCTTCTTGGTTTTGAACTTCTTTTCATGATTTTTTCATCTCGTGGACTCTTCTTTTTGAACAATTGGTCAACATATATTTCAAACTTCCGTAGCAATTCATTTGTTGGGAAAAAATGGCACTTTCTTCACGCAATTGACTCGAAATTTTGCCAAACATATTATGAATGCGTTTTTCACCCGATTTCATGAAACTTGAACCAAAATATCTAAAACATGCCTTGTTTTTCTATTTTCTATCTGAAAATCTCTCAAATATGATGAGAAAAATAAGTACAAAAATGGACTTATCAATCTCCTCACACTTAAACGTTGCTTGTCCTCAAGCGACAAATCATTCGCAAACACACTCAAAAGGTAAAACCTGACTGAATCACAATCGAATTGCTATTAAAGAAATAGAAACAAAAATCTCCCTTTTTTATTCTCAATTTTTAAACATTTTAGAAAAATCACCCAAAAATACAAGAATTTAAAATTATTATTACTTTATAAAAACTATTGATTATGTTAAACCACCAATCAATTCCTTATCCCAAGGTTTTCATTATTCTAATTTGGACATTTATCGTATTCACAAATTATGTTTTTTTTGTCTCTTTTCCACTCTTGTTGGCGGTGTTATCCCATGGTAGATGCATATTTCATTCTCACAGACTATGATTAACGAATGAAACAGAGCCCCTTTTTGGAGATGGAATTGTCCTATAACAATGAGTTTTGAAGAGATTTATTAATAATAGTGTTTTTTGTTTTTTTATGAATAAAATGAATGTCCAATTAAAACAAAATTAACCCCTTACATTCGCAACCAAAAACCCATAACAATTTCAAGTTTTCTAAAAATAATAATAAAAGTAAATTCTTATAATAAGAGTGATTCTCTAAGCTATTATGTGATTGATAACAAATTGAGAATTTAGTGTTTCATATCAAAAACCCATAAAAGTAAATTTTTTTGTGAGGTAGACATTTATTTAGATTTTTCTTATTCAGCAATAATCATACATTTTCACTTTATTCTCACTTTTTCAAACTCTTATCCAAGTCCAATCAATAAAGTTTTTATGAACGGAGTGGGTATTTTGTTTTAAATTTATCAACTTTCATCAAGGACTTTCTTTTTTCGTCGAGCAGTGTTGTGTGAGTAGATTGCAAGTGCATGACATAGTCATTCAGTATGATAATATGACTATTGGTGGGGATGAGAAGGAGTTGGCTTTCAAGGAAGATGAAGACGGTGAGGGAGAAGCAGGCGAGCGGCAGGCTGCGTTTTCAGTGGTCGGTACACTCCTTACGGACAGGGTGGTCAAATTCCAGGCTTTTAAAGATCTTATGGCCTCGTTATGGCTTCCGGGAAAAGGAGTCTCTATCAAAGAGATAGGTGAAAAAAGATACATG